ACAGCGGCATTGCAGAATAGGGTTCTTACAACTCTGAGGACTAGAATTACAGTAGAGCGATTTCAGCAAAAAAATATATCAGTAACATTGCAGTTTCATGCAATATTATTATTTATGTCTCATCAACCCCTAATGATGATAGAACATTCCAACTTCTGGATATATTTTCGAATGCTTAAACCGCATATACAGGTTCGATCACCACCTGAAATTAGGCAGGGGACCGCTATAGAACCCGACAGTACTGGAGAGCCGTTTCGTCCTAGTTTGGCACTCTTCAGTAGTGCGTGACTACCAGTGCTCCTTGGGTTTGAGTGGTTCTCTAGCTGCTTTCGGCTCATGATACTACCTGTAACCAATCAAATCCGTACAAACAACCACCTAATAAATCACATTTTCGCAACAGTCTTGTGTAACGCATTTACATAAGAACTGAAAATCACACTACAGCCTTTTCAAAGGACTTCTAGCTTTTTCAGACTTCAGTAACATATTCATTTCAAAGAATATTGCTATTTTAAAAAAAAAGTCTAAATTTTGTAGTTACAGTACTGGCAGATTTGAAAACACGTGACATGGCAGCTGTTTCGGATTTACATATATTCAAGTCTGCTTTATTGAACTGCCCTATTCTTGTTGGCAAAACGGCCAAAAGTAGTATGTATATACTTGGTGGAAATGCAAAAGTAATTAAAAAGTCACTGGATATTACTATAAATGGGAATTTAAAATGAAATCTAATAATACAAACAAGGCATACACAGACTGTTTTAAGAATATTAATCATTAGTAGAACCTTATAGGTATTAAATACTTTTTGTTATTTAAAGAAATAAATTTATTTTTTCTCTATGCTAATTGCAAATATCCTGTTATGCAATGATATTTAGACCACCTATAAATTGTTCTGTGTACACTTCTTTAGAAAATATGTATCAGGTGTATTAAAACAATTAATTAATTAATTGGCCATTTGTTCATTTATTTGCTGAGTTATTTAACCCTTTTTTATTTTGTATAATTTTTCTGTACTTTCCAGTACTTTCACCATTCAACTGAGACATTCCTGATAGGCTTAGTTTTATATAAATTTACTTTGGAGCTTTTTGAATGGAAGTGACTTTGTCATCTATCTCAACAAAGCATATGGATTCTAAGACGTCTTACCCATATCGACATGTTTGGGACTACTAAGATTCAGTTACGGACAAGTAGCTATCAGCAATGAAGCGGGGCTTACTTGTCCAGAAGAATAACAGCAGTTTATCATTGATTATTGATTTGCTTTACAGTATGCATAACAGTGAGTGTCAGTGCTGGTGACACGTATGTTTATTCGAACTGATCTCCATTTGGCTGGAGACAAGAAGGCTATCGTTGCTTAGTACTATACGGGTTGGTAGAAGACGGCAGAAATACGATCAGAAGTATCATTGTGCATTCTGTTAACGTTTATTTACAGACTTTATTGAAACTAATCTGCATTTCTGTCTCGTTATCGGTTGGAGAATCAACAATCGTATTGCATTTTAGTTTTCTGTTTTTCCGCATTGGTTACTGTGCGTAGTATTCTGCATATCAGGCGTAGTTGTCTGAAACCAGTGATGGGTTCAGGATCTTTGCGATCTGGATATTTGACAGTGTGTTTTGTGTAGAGAGACTTCAGAGGGCTTTTCTGACAGGAAGTAAATAATAATGACCGTCCTCTCGTCTAGGGAATTCGAAACTTAATCTGGTAAATTCGAGATTCATTACATCTGAATACTTCAAAAAATAGACACTATTCATTTTAAGCTATTTGTAACTGTCAGTGTAATAGAGAAGATTTGTAGCTCAGGTGGATGATTTGCAATTAATAGTGTTCTCTGAGCTGGTTGGTTTAGTTGCGGAGCTTTCATCATCCTTCTGGACAACATCTTCAGCGCAATATTTAGCATAAAGTGAAATGATTTAAATTTCTTCATGAGTGATACAATTACGTCTCCTGGTAACCGTCTTTACATATGTATTGACCATTTTCTATCGACTTGGATTTTAAACTTTCTGGTCACCTGATTTACTTTTTATTAGTTGGTATATTTCGTCTATATTAACGTGTTTGTTAATTGTATTTTCGTTTGAGTACCAGGCTTCTAGGAATTCCCTGACACTTTTGGTGTTTCCTCTGTCTAAGATTTTGACATTATCCCAATCAAATTGATGTCCATAATTGTCTATATGCATTGATACTAAAGAATACATATCGTGTCTTTTCACGGCTGATTTGTGTTCTTGGATTCTAATTCGAAGGGGACGCCCACTTTGGCCGATGTAATGCTTGTTGCAGTTCATACAATTTATTTTGTAAATGGTATTAATTTTATCCCCTTTTTCTGTTGGATCTTTTGGTTTGCATAATATCGAATTAAGCGATTTGACTGGTTTGTGTACTATATTTATTTCAAACGGTTTCACTATTAATTGTAACTGTCAGTGTATTTAAAAAATTTCTTCTACTTTTGCTTGTCACACATACGTATTTAGTTTTATTAGTACTGTAGGTAAATGAAGTCAGTTAAAATGTCGTTACAACATGTTGAACAAGCTGTGTGCATGCTAACTACACAATAAGCAGACAATGAAGATGACAAAGAAAAAGTAACATTCTTCACCTAGTTCTACGTCACACATGAATAACAAAGTCATTTTTATCATGTATCATTGCAGACAACAGAAAGAAAATCGTAGATACAGATACAGGCTAATAATTGATTATTTCCTGTTAAAATTAATAGTCGACAAATCTTTGTGCTGTATGAATTCATCACTAGAAAAACCAAAATATCTGACTTCTTGCAACAGAAACGAGATACCTCACAATGGCACTGTTGTGAGAACGGAAAGAAGGGGTACAGCTTCAATTTTTCGAAAATTTGCCAAAAAGTTTACGTTTCAACAAAACAAACTCTTTCAATAGTGGCATTGCCAGGAATCTCGTCAATGAGAGTCATGAGATGGACACCAATAAATCCTTTAAAATGATCAGTAGACAAAGTAATCGGGTTCTTCTTAAGTTTGCACAAAAATCTGCCACCAAATGCCTGAAAGCCGATTCGTGTGTTTAGAAAGAAGATGTTATCAGTTCAACCTTGCCTTTCCAACTGGATTTCTACAGTATCTCTTTTAATTGATTGCGTAATCTTTGACTTGAACGTCTCCTTTTCCCCTGTTGTGTATATTGATTATCTTCTGTTTTCAGCTGATTTCAGCTGAACCCAGTGCACTGTTTTTCAGTTTAATATGTATTCATCACCTCTCCCACCTCTTGCCTTTATTATGCAACTGCTTTATCATCGCATCCCAGACCTCATTTTTTGTTTAGACGGCTAGAGGAATTTGGTATTTTAAAACAACTATTGTTTATGGCAGATATACTGTCATTATTCATGTATTTTCAATTTCACTACACTATGCTAATTGAACACATACCCATACACATACACACATACTGCTTGTGACATCAAACAAACATTGTTCGAGGACGTTCGCATACCCACTGACAGTGATATGTCTCCGCCCGCCAGTTAATCATGTCCTATTGACATGAGACGAATTGTAAACATTGTACATTGGACTGATCTCCTAGTCTCTTTGTGTTTCACAGTATATGCAGAAACAAACCACTGCACAGTTTACTCATGTTGTGCAGACATGTTTGTCTATTGATTTATTTGTTTGTTTGTTTATATGAACTAGTGTAATTAGTATTGATGTTTGAGTTAGCTAGTGGTAAAACAATGGTCAAACAGATTAAGTTGAGTGGTACTCCTGGTTCTATGTTGGTGTAGTGAATTTTTCATTCAGATAGTAGGAATGTGACACGTCTCTGTCGAAAACATTTGTAAGTAATATGAGTCCTAACCTCATAGGGAGAGGAGAAGAATTCGGTCGTTGTTAGTAGTCGGCTTTGTGAAATGAACACGCCACTGTTTGTTTATTCATTATTTGGCACCACTGTGTTCACTAGTCACCAACGTGTTTTGTCAATGTCAGTGAGTCATAAATGAAAACACTGTAAATATCTGTTGATGTTTATAATTGACGTGTTGTTGATTTTGTCTGAGTATATCACTGAGTAGGATCATTTGAATTTGGGTTTACGTGTGCAGGTGTAGGGATTTAATCTGACGACAGATCACCTGTTGAATGAAGACATAAATCTGAATAACGTAGTCGTTACTTTGTTTCGAAGTGAATTGATTTTAGTCATCTGGGAGTTTTCGTCAAATTCAGATACTTCGTGCATTCTTCTCTGATGATTTTTGCTTGTCGTTTGAGTGTTTGTATTGACTGATGGTGTCAAAATCAAATATTTGAGAAGATATGATATTTTGTGGCTAACTGAATAATTACACCGATGTGAATGAGGTGATTTTTTAAAGCCTTTATAAGAGATTTGATCCACAAACAGTTGTGTGATAGTGAAAGCTGGAGTATGTAACAGCGGTAGGTAATGTGATGAGTAAAATTGGGATATTTCAGTAATTTGAAACAACATTTTTCTAAAAATTTGTGTGTATCAACTGAGACTATGCGTCAACTGAGGTCCCTTGCTTAATGTTATGTAGATAGAAACTAGTGTTCCATTTTAAACGGAGAAGTTTTAAAATCTGTATAATAAATTTACTAGAAATCTTAACATATTTAGAATTTTATCAACATTTATGTATCATTATGCAGTTTTACGGAACATGTACTATCAAAAATTAAGACACTAATTAAATCTTATTTAGAAATGGATAAGTATACTTTATTCAAGGTTTACAGTGGTGAAATTATAATTTTTCATTGAGACATATGCACGTTTCTTTAGAAAACTTATTCATTTTAAACTAAACATTGAAACTGTTCAATGTTCAAGTTAAACAATCAGTTAAATGACATTCTTTAATCACGACTATATGAATGTATAAACACAGTCTATACAGTTATTACATTAAATACGAATTTATCAAACTTACTAATTCTTCGTTCAGTAACTTGATTAATTCACTGTATCGACTTAACAGTCTGTCAATTAGAAATACACGTCTCTTTTTTAAATAATTAAAATAATCCATTGAGACTGATGCCTTGGAATGATTGTTTTTATTAACTGTTTTATTACTGTTGTTATTGTTATCATCTTGATTATTGTCCAACTGTTCATCGATCGAATCATCATTATTATCTTTGTTATTGTTGTTTAAATCAAATTGTTGTGTTGATAACGATGATACTGAAGATGTCGACAGATGAGATTTATTGTCCAATGAATAATTCATTTTTGGCGCTTGAAAATGACTGATAACTTCCCGGGGTAATAATTTGTGAAATTTTTTCCCAGGATTTTCTGATTGTTTAGTTAATTTGTCTAGATAATCAGCTAGGGAGATTGAAACAAAAGGACCTCCTATTTGATTATTTTTTGAATTGTAGTATATGTGTAATGAAAGAAAAGAAAGAAGTATACAGGTCAAGTTAGACGACGAAATGGTTTCGTTTGTTAAATAAATTGATGAATAATTGTGTACCACAGTGGATTACTACACTGTCAGCGCTTTTTAACTAACACAATGCTGACTGACACATTTACTCAGATCACATAAAATTATTCAAATTTGTCACAAATAATCACACAATAAGTATGAAATATCATGAATTCTTATTGGTCACCTACCTTACCAGTAATTATTGAACGCCACTAAGGCATCTACACTACATAACAATGAACTGACTACAAAAAACATACATGTAATACACAGTTGATAAGTTTATACTTTTCACTGTATTCATTACTTTTCATTAATTAATTCATTAATTCATTCATTGTCATTGAATCATTCTGTGTGCAGAAAAACAAATTTCGTTTGTGTTTTGTTTTTTCACTACAGACAACTATTGTATATACCAGTAATTTATGCATTTGATATTAGGTCAGTAGTAGTAAGCAATTGTTTTAATGCACTATCAAAGCTCTAGCCGCCTACATAAATTTGTATTTACAATCAAATATATACATATATACATTGATCATCAGGGCATTTTTAATCTTATTTTCATTTTCAATGTGTAGATTAAAAACACCTGCCTGAAGAATGTAAAATTACTTCTGGAAACTACCTTCACTCATGATTAACTAAGTGAAGAAGGTTTTAAATTATACACGAACCAACTAGATCTGTTTAGTGAAACAGTGTTCTGGAAAAGCAAGTCTTTTTTAGTTAGATTCGTGGGGAAGTATTATATAACGAAATACCTTTGCCATCACTTCAGTGAATGGTGACTACCGGTACAATCCAGGATGCGGATCTCGTCCTGTTTGGGACTCGCCAACTGGATTTACCTGTAATCCTCAGTTAGTTATGGTGTTCTCACTGAGCTTCTAATATAGTGAGTGACCTACGTTTCAAGAGCCTACTAGACGTTTTGAGAGCCAAATCTTTCGCAACAGACGTTGTCAAGGGGTCCGTACTAGAAGGTAACATGTCAAAAGAGGCCGAACATTTTGGTGCAGTCAATCAACAGGGAAATCAAAACTGACTTAAGACAAAAAACACTTATCACCAGTTGCAATGAGGTAGAGAACCACTGATAAGTGAAAAGCACATTGTAGCTTTCCTTCCCTACTTTTTTGAAAAGTATCCATAACTTACTAGGTTTTGGTAGTGTCCCGAAATAAATCGATAAAAACTGACAAATATGATCTGTTGGACGTGATTTGATAATACACATATTAGTTCCCGGCCTCATCTAATACTGCAATATACCCATCGTCGTTAGTGAGCTAAGATTTATTGATTGGATTCTTCGCCGTACTCAGATGTCAATCCTTTAACTAACCAGCATTTCTGCCCAAGATCTTGATGCTACTTATTGTATTCAGGCATCTGTGCAATGATGCCATAATGTCTCATACCATATAATGATCAAAAATACCTATCAGTGTGACCTAATTAAGTTGTTTATTTGAAGTGGTTTGTCAGCCGTACTTTGTAAATATCCAGTATTTCAATTCAGTGTGCCTTCTGCCATAGATTTCTTGTTAAGAAAAAATTTATTCAGCATGCCCTACTTATTTTAACGTTTCCTGAAGTTATGCATCCAAATAATGATGGTAATAACGTCCAAGAGACTTTATGACAGCCTACATGGCAATAATCTGTTTCTGTATATTTCTTTTTCTCTGCCCAGCAAAGAAATCCCAGACGCACATCGCATTTTATTTGGGATTGGTCTTCTAGATTTACATGCATTTCCAGTGAGTGGAAACGCCTGAGTGTTTTGAAACGATGAGTGAATCCGGTTGGTGTGTTCCATGTAGGATGAAATGCACACTCTGAATTCTCTCAGTTAGCTGCCATCATTTAAACAAAATAATTTCATTCAGTATTATGTTCGAAATGCAAGCAGCATACATTTTTAAAGGGGAGACAACCTAATTTTTCCACTTAACAGTCACATAAAAAAATTCAACTACATCAAAAATAAATATGTGATCAAAATTTTCGAGATTACATCATGCGCTGACATCGGTTAGAGAACCATTGGAAAACCTGCAAGGAGAACTGGACAGCTGTTTCCTCCGTCCTACCGTCTTCACCGGTACGAACCCACCGTCAGGGTTTGAATTCAATACCTTCTAGTTACAAGGCGACCTCGTAGACCATTAAGCCACCGGGACCCGATTCAACTCCCAGCCGCCAATGAATTCTGCCAATTCACGACATAGCGCGACTACTAGCGAATGTCATCACTGGCGAGTATTTTTCCTTACTCCCCGCCTGAAGTACCCTACTAGTCTCAGCTTCCCACAGGAACTCCAGGTGACTGTCTAAATGGAGTTAGTCACTAGTGAGCATCTGAAGAGTCCCAAACTAGGACGAAACAGCTGTCCAGTACTCCCTGCAGGTTTTCCAGTGTTTCCCTAACCGATGTCAGCTCATGATGAAATCCTGTAGCCAATCAATCAAATACCTACAATCCAATACTTGAAATTTTCAAGAGTCGATTTGTAAAGAATTAGATTTGTTTTTCGAGATTGACCACGCATGGATGATATCAGTTAAAGAACCATTGAAAATGAAATGAATTCATCTCATAAAGTTTTGTCTAAAAATAAAGTTACTCTACCGTGTGAATTAGATATGAAAAGTACATTTTAGGCTTGATTTGTTGCTTCTTTCTTTACTAAGACTGTCAGATTAGAGTTTACTTTATTCCCTGTGTTTGCATTTTCTTGTCTGTACATGTTTATTTTATAATTTATTGTTTTTTTACGCTGTTTTATAAGTTTCGCATTAAGGAGAATCCACTTAAAATGGACATAAGTCCATCTATGGTATATGCATAGACAAACAAAACACTTCTACACTTTGATTTGTACTTTATACAATATAAATGGACAAAAACTTAATTCTGATCATATTGTCGTATATAAGGTTGAATGTTAGTTACTCTTTGTTAGATTATTTAAAGATACTGTTTTATCAATGCTACCTACATTAATGGAATTTAACAACAAAAACAAAAACACTAGTGATAAATCTATTCACATTATTTTTATGCATTAGATCAGATCATATCTGAGGAAAAGATCTAATGTACTGAATAACAAAACGTATTTTGCAAGTGTGAGACAGATAAAACGAATTTATCGCCAATATATACTTTCATGTCACTTGGAAAAATTGGGAAATTAATATGCAACTATCAATATACTGGTCAACTACTAGTTTACACTTTCTTGTTTGTATAGGGTATAGAAGTGAATAATTGATCAGTCTCTGCTGGCATGCTGACTACTTTCTACGGATCCCTTGGTCTTGCATGAAGTAAGACCTTGTTTTTTTTATGATTAGTGGAGATCTGTCGCCTAAGTCCAGTTTATGAACACTGGGATCATCCGAAAATGTCGATTAAAAATCCAGTCCTCACTAAACTAGACGTCTGTTGTATTTCAGTAGTCTACTAGATAACACTTTAAGTTTTGAAAATTTGAGTACTATGATTTAATTTTGATGAGATCACTGGTACTTACTGAGATTCAAGTACACCTAGGTTCGAAGTCACAAAATGGCCGAAGCTGAAGTTCTTAACGCCATTACTGGTTACCACCACGCGTATATTAACATGTGGTTTAGGGGACTTCCGAAGATGCGTAAAAATGAAGTAACTACTTAGTACTGTTTCTCAGTACATTATAATATCTCTTTAGATGTAGGTCACTTTCTAGATCCTTCTAAAGTATTCGAAATTAAGGTAAAAATGAAAACCTACTTAGCAATCAGATTTCTTCATGAATCAGGTATTTGAAACGAACTGCTGACCAGTCACATTTCGGCTAAATCGCATTTACTAGAATGGAGAAATCAATGAGATTTGTAATCTGCCCATAATTGTGTCATTATCATACCATAGCGTCAACGTTAATCCAATCAGTACAAAGATGACATGAAAAACTTAACTTAAAATACGAGAATCATCTGAATTGGCAGAAGTTAGAATTCATGGAATGATCATTAAATGGCGTCCCAGTGGCTGAATGGTCTGCGAGCTCACCTTGTAACCAGAAGGTCCTGGATTCGAACCCCCTGTGGGGGGTGCTTACTGCCGGAGAGTCTTAAACTAGGCTGACGACACAACTGTTCAGTAATATTAGAGTTTCCAATGGTTCTCTAACCAATTTCAGCTCATGATGAAATCCTTCAGTCATCTGAAAGGGTCGAAACACTTTAATCAGGTAGTGAGTTGAATCAAATTAATCTCCCTTCTTATCTGCCTTATTCAATAACCTTCATTAAATGGATGAATTTTACCTTCTGAAGAATATGAACTGGAAACGGTTGGTATTTCTCACTCAGACAGAAGCAGTAGGATAGATGAAAGCATTCAAGATAGCATATAGAGTTTACTATTCAACAGTTACATACATGTGTAATAAACTAAGGTGTTCTGTTAATGCTCCAGGTTATAGGAAATTCTAGTTAATTAGTTAATATTGTTGATGTTTAATATTCCATAGTTTTGTTTTTGTCACCTGTAGTACTTTCATTTTTTTGTGACTACAATACTACAGAGGACACAGTTTCACCCTTATTTTATCAATGTGATATTATTTTCAACAAAGTTTTATTTTCAAATTCATCAAGGAGAATTCATCTGTGTTATAATTATTTTATTTTATTCTTTTCTATTCTTCATAGACAGTTTCGATTTTTTTAAAAGGATTTAGTCTTATCCAGTAAGCTTTTCAACCATGAAAGAAGCAGAAGAATAAAAACCAACAACAATCCAGTTTTGAAATGATCTATTTACTGGACTGTTGCTAGTTAGATTTTTCAACTGAATCTTTGATTTTAACTGATGGTGTTTGTTTTTTTGTTTGCCTTTTTGTCTTTTTTTTCTCAGTGAAACAACATCTGTCATTGTAAGTGAACCGTATACCCAGGCAGGAAATATTTTCACCCTTAAATAGGATAATCTCAGTGATAAAGTTGATCGTGCTGATAAGGCTGCAAGTTCTCGACCAGAGTCACTGATTCCTTCTGTACATACAACTTCTAATCATGTATTTATGTTTTTTTTCATTATTTCAAATGTTTGTTGTTTTTATTGCATGAAGGATTTCATCATGAGCTGACATCAGTTAGAGAACCACTGGAAAAACTGGGAGTACTGGACAACTGTTTCATCCTAGTTTGGGACTCTTCAGCAGTATGCACCCACCGGGATTCGAACCCAGGACCTTCTGGTTACAAGGCAAGCTCGTATACCATTGAGCCACTGGGACCCGATCCAATGGTCCTTGAATTCTAACTTCTGCCAATTCACGACATAGCGCAACCATTTCGCAATGTCTTCTTCGATGAGTTACTGCCTCATCTTCAACCTGCTGTACTCTACTGGTCACGGCTTCCCACTAGAACCCCAGGTTAACTGCCTGAATAGGGCCAGTCACTAGTGAGCATCAGATTAATTTTCCAGTATTGGTTTTGTAGGGATTTTGTTTTTACTCACATGTGTAACAAATACCAGGAAATGTATCAGTTAATATTGATAAGTCGACATGGAGTAACTGATGGCATGTGTCTAGTCCTTAGCAATTATTGACGCTGACTTAATTCTGTCAGTGGTTCGCCATTGCGACACACAGTAAGTTGGTGATGATTATGATCATTGTCCTCCAGCAGCTATGAAAGCAGCAGTGAGTGATGCGGATTAGTACCTCTGAGGGGATGTTAGTTTTTTTTAGAGGTTATGGATACCTCTTAATGATGAGTGCCAGTTATTCTGAAACTTAAGTTCAAGGCTTCTTGACAGTTACCTAAAACCATCTAACATCAGTTACCAGTATGTTAGAAATCTGAAGATTAGGATTTCTAATACAACTGTATTTCTATTTTATCTATATTCTTCAACTAAACTGCTGTTATTTCTTAATAGCACTACTGATTAATCCATTGACATGAACTAAAAACAAGTTAAGTACATATGAATAATCCTGTAAAGTTGAACTATGCTAAAAACTGAATACACTATCAAACAAGATGCTAAATGAGGTAGGTCAATTATGTTTATAGTTCAAAAGTAGACAAGAGATAATCCTTTCAGAGTAAAACCTAAGCACATATTGTAATTATGAAGTTAATTTTTTATGAGAAATTCACGCAAGTTAAGATGTTTGTCAACATTTCGTTTGTTATTGACTATTTTAAACGAATATTAGTCACACAATCATCAAAAAACGGGTAGCACTTGTGATTTATATCGTCCAGTATTCGAAAAAGTTTGAAAATTAGTAAAGACACAATCATGGGCAAAACTATCACGTTTATTTCAGGATATGTTACCTTTAAACTGTAAGGTCGGAAATATAATAGCTATTTTATATTCCTTAGTGAGATGTATTGCTTCGAAGATGAGATAATTATCAACAGGATTAACAAAATCAAGTGTTAAACAATCTGTTTATCGACAATGTAGACTGTCGTTCACGCTATATCAACAATTGGCAAAATTCAGGAAGTCAAGCTTAATCGAAACGTAGAGTGCTGACTGTATGGCTTAATTAGATATGTGGTAATGGTTGTTGTACACTGTAGGTGCCAGAACTAGAACGAAGGAATAATGCACTTCTGTCTGTAATTCAGTAATTTACCAGCCAATATTGACCTGTAGTGAAAAATATTCCTAAATTCACTAAATGGCTTAATTGTTGCAATTCTCACTCATCACACACTCTTATTCGCATTTAGTATTCCTGGTACCTCAATTGACTTCTAAACAATACCAATAAAGACCTTTTTCTGTCTAAAAATCTATTATGAACTAATTTTTGCTAAGTCTTTCTAGAGTAAGTTGAAATAACCGTTTATTACCATTCAACTTTTAATAGTTGTACCATTGAATTCAAGCCATATTTTAAGGCATTTTCCGAAATAGTTTCATAATAGCCTTAAATCATCGACTGTGTCATTGAAGAGTATTAGACGACCATTTCTGCGTACCTAATGGGTGTCTAAAAGGTTCATATCTCAGCCAATCTGTTTCAAGGGAATACTCTATGTTTTGCGAATTCATTTAATTCATCAAAAACATTTAATCATAACGAAGCCCATGTTGAGCGTTTACTACTTTAAGAGCTATTTTCCCCCCAAATTCAAATCATGTTCTATAGGTTGCATGAATTTTTTTTTTTTTTAAAAAAGCACTTAGTAGTTTACATACATATTAAAACTTACTGTTATTTGTGTCGTCAAATCCTTTACCGCAAAGGTCAGAATCAGTTTGATGCATATTTTCCTTTGTCATTAGTACTTCAGGTTTATTCAACTGGTATTCAGATGGTGATTGTTTACATTGAGATTGGTCAACCTTGTAATCGTTATTTATCGGGTTCACATCAGTTTCTGATTCAATTTCTTCTTTTTGTAGTAATGGGGACATTTTCCATGATTCTTGTTCTTCTTCTATCACGTTTTCTGACGCATTACCTTCAACACCATCAACACCACCACAACCACCATCGTCACTTTGAGCCGGGATAACTTGTGAGTCTGATGAATCATCTGTAGAATAATTATTCATTGATGTGTAGGGTTTTGTTAAAATATACTCTTGAATTGTAATCTGGGCACAGCTCATGACTCAATTTGTTTGAATGAATGTATTCACTTACTACTGGATTTCAAGTTCTAGTAACATTATAAAGGATATTAAAGTCTTAAATACATTTGAAATTGGTTCTTTGTTTAAAAAAAATATTAATCTTGAATGGCTACTCCTCTTGTCGTTGTTGGTGTTGGTGTTGGTGTCGTTGTTATAACTTTCACTGTTGTCATGGTACTTCCTAAAATTCAAACTTTGATAATACACATTCAAGATTACAAAATCTTATCACTGAAAACTGAACAGGTGGTTACACGTATACTAACAATAGTAATAGTAATAATAATAATAGTAATAATGACTATCTACAGTCTATTAAATTCATTAATTGTCTACCCACTTTAATCATCTATACATACAAATGAATCTATACATATCTATCTATCTGGCTAATAATGCGTGTTTATGTACATAGCAGAACAATATGAATTGATATATATATATATATATATATATATATATATATACATTGGTAAGTGTAGATGAATTAGGATAGGACAGAGGTTTGTATACATGTGCACATAGAGACGCAGCATTTCAAGTGTATGTTATCTCAATTACAAAAATTACCTATAATTCAATTCTTAAAATTTTTTATTTATCATGTTCATGTGTACTTGTGTGTGTGTGTGTGAGACAGAGACAGAAAGAGAGAGAGAGAGGTACTCATAATTTCTCTAGTGTATCATTCTTAAAATGCATCAATAGAGTAATGTGCAAAACAAATTATGAAAATTATAAAAGCATAATTTAATAAGGACTATGAATTTCATAACATGAAACACTACTGAAATGGATTATTCATGTTTTCTATTCCTTTACGTTCCCAGTGGAACATTGGGCTTCAAGCTAGAGGCTTGAAGTTTCGGTAGCAGTAGTGTTATTTTTACAAGATGGAGTTGCTAGCCTCACGCCCAACCTTCCCTCTTAAGCAGTCTTATTACCGGCTTAGTGAGGTAAAGGAGTGAGTCGGTGGCCGGGGATCGAACTGCGGACCACATGTGCGGTTGGCGAGCATTCTACCTCTGTGCCACCGACGCACACACTACTGAAATGATTTATCAATGACGGTGAAACATTTAGCACTTCGGTAACTCCTTGCTTATCTTACAGAAGTGACAGAAACAGCAACCTTTCATTTAAAGAGTTAACAAAACTTTTTGTAACTTATAAAATGAGGTGACAGCTTTTATTCACATATTCGTGAATAACGTGAGTGTCACTGCCAATCAGTCTCATGACGTAACAGTAGTCATAAGGCTATGTAAAAATGAATAATTAAATGCTTTTTTCTGGTTCAGGGAATATATATATTGACACAACGTCATAACTATTGATTTATAAATCGACAGGGTGCCGTCGATTTATATATCAAAATTAGGAATTCAGTTTAGCTGTCATGCCCTCTATTACTATGTCCTTACTAAGTCGTTGGTAATGATAGATACGTATCGACTGAGCTGGCCGAGACCCGAATTTTGGAACGAATTCTCGAAATGCCTCATATATATATATATATATATATAGAGAGAGAGAGAGAGAGAGAAATAGCTTGTTAATTTAGGAAACTTTTCTTTGATGGTCGTGAACATACTCCGTGAAATCAATAACGTGTCTGACATACATCTTTTATCACAAAATTTCTAAAAATATTGTGTAAATATTTCGCATTCTTCCATGCTTTCACGGCAGATACTAAATTAGTTGTACGCTTCAGCTGCTTCAGGCACATGACATCATTATTCGTATTCGGATCTTTCACCAGTACACCAGTTGCCCTCGACTAACAAATGACCAAATTGCTAGACCTTTTTTTGCATTCATCATACTGATGAAAATCGAAGTAATGTGCAGATTTTGTAGACTGTTATATAAAACCGCGACTGTGATGAATTCAACACTATCTGTGGTTTGAAATAATCCCGATCATGTCTTACATTCCTGTGAAAAGAAAATTTAAACTGGCGCTTTTACTCATTTGAAGGGTTATCACACGTTACTGGACACTTTTGTTGCGAATTTCTTCGAAATTCCACTGACTTAGAAGCCATTAACAATCGGGTGTATGAAGACAAGTTTGTCGCTAGTTAGTTACTGATTTCATGACTTAAGAGTGGTATTACATGTGGGAACAGCAGAAAGTAGTTAGAAAAACTGAAGTATTTAGTTTTAATTCTTAACCTGACTATCACAAAATCTCATAAATGCAGTTATGATCTCATCGTCATCTTCAGTTATAAACGTCAACAAATCATGCAGTAATTGGAGTTTTCTCCAGATATAATGTAGAAACAAATATAATAGTAATAATAATAATTTGCTTTATTCCAAAACAGTACTTGTGATACAGAATGGAATTCTCAGCATTTTTACTACAGTATTGCATCCAGTTAGTACATTATCAATAAATAGAATTCTATATAGATTAAGGAAATCTCAGTTCATTATTACAACAACATATTAGCATGTCGGTAGCAAAGCCGAAGTTGAACAGTGTTTGAAAGTGTTAGAAAAGTGGGAGCTGTCTTATTAACTGGCGTAAGCGAGAGAAAGAAACAAAGCAGCACATAACGGAAAAAAAGAGAGAGAAAAGGAAAAGAGAGAAAGAAAATGTTGTACCTATTGATGATATTAGTTGGAAAGACGAGATCCATTTGTACTACTGACTATTTAATGAATTATAGGTGTCACGCCTAACGCTTTCTTTATCGCACAGAACACGAGCTAAGTAGGGTATGGTTGAGTTTTTGTAATTGCTGGTGCGACCATATAGTTTTCTATATAGGCTTCTGGCTTCGCCTGATGAGATGCAAGGGGAGAGTTGTGAGTGAAGAGGGTGGTGTGAGTTAGATAAAATGGATTTAGCCCATTATTCACATGAGTCTAAGTGCCTGTCAACCAGAATATTAACAAGCTGGTTAAGTGGCACGTTGCTTACCCTGCTGACAACAGTTACAGGTTCGATTATCAGCTGACATCATTCATAGAAAGCCAAGAAGTACTGGATAATTGTTTCTTCCCAGTTTGGTACTTCTCTGAGTGATGCCAGCAATTGATCAAACCTGTAACCAATCACATCACTGCAAACCAATAATTGAAACTAAACAATCAGTTCGTATTTTATGCATGAAAATAGTCTCAGTGATTTCAAATAAACCGATTTAGGTAATCACTTCATGTTTCCAGTGGAGTATTGTGTATTCACTTTAAATTAACAACCATGAAAGACTGGAAAATATAAGAGAAAATTACGCTTTTCAAAAAGAAGAATGATGTAAGTGAATTATAGCACTTTTAGACCACTTGCACAAAATATCATTTATGTAAACAATCATATTCTAAGCAAAAGGTAAATAGAAACTATTCTCAGAGTTGAAGTGGTTCTCCTAATATACTAAGATCACTACAAATACACTATACTCGAAGAATAGTTTTCATTAGACTTTAAGAACTTAAGTACAGAGTGAAACTTGTTCACTTTAAACTATGCAACAATCCCCTCATAATTCAGATTATCACTTATCTAAAAATAACCATAAGAAACCAAAAGAAGGTAGGGTATACACAGGCGATTATTTCATTTTCGTGTATAAAAAAGTAGACTGCTTACCCTTAAAAAATACTCTCAAGAGTTCAGGAAATTGCAAATACACACACTGATTACTGTGACTGATAACTGAGGTGTAACTACTGCAGCTATACTGTTTTTACCTTACGGCTAGCTTCATTCTCTTCTTCACTATAATCATGATGCTATGATACTTGCCGTTAGCATACGCTCTGAATTTGGTGATCTAGATTGTTTTTTGCCAACAGAGTGCAAATGCAACCTAGAAGGAACTGATGTCCCCTCAGAGATTCGAACTGATACAATTCTGAGTTCCTATTACTTAGCTAGTTGGGGCGTGATTGATCTCCCGTAGAATTGTGATAGATATAACAGATAGATAGATAGATATAACCACTACCATGTTGTCCAGTCATCAGTCACGTTTTCAGTGTAGTTATTAAACCTAGGACTTCAAATAAGCACGAAACCCAAGTTCGATGGCTATACAGTGACCAGTAATATGTACAGTGACTAGAGAAAAACAGTGTCACTGAAAACAGGAAATTTTAGTAGGAGATTTTTGATATGCTTAGAGCTAAATAACACATTGGGTTCACTAGCACTGCTAATTGTCTTCCTGATAGGTATAGACTAACAAACAGTCCAGTTTACTGCAAACTGGATTGTTGAATTAACTAAATTAGTCGGCGCATTACAAACCTGAGTAGCTCTATCTTAAATCAGCTGGCAAGAGGCTTTGCTTGACAGAAGCTTTGTGACACTCAGTGGGAATACAGTTAGTCATTGATTAAGCAGTTGGTTAGATGCTTTTGAGATGAAAATGCATCCATCATTTACAAAACAGCTAGGAAAAAACTGTTTATAGATGGGATGAGACTGAGACTTGATAGGCGGCCTTATCTTACATGCCACCTGGTAAACCTTCGAGTTGGTAACCCAGTCGCGGTTGTTCCTCGTCCTATCACATTTAAGGTTTTGGTTTTGATTTCAGAGATCATACCCTTAAAAATTATGACAAATGAGCTTTTTCAGTTCAAGTGAAACTGATTGGAATCGAACGAAACAGCGCCTTAGGATGAAATCGACCCCCCTCCTCCACCCTAATAACATTTACTCAGTTTGAAAAGCCTACATCATGATGTTCAGTTCTTTTCCATTTATACAGCTTGTAAGGAACATATTTTTTCAGTGAGCTGCTGGGATTTGAATCAGTGACATATGCTATTCAACTTCATAAACACGAAAAACTGAAATCCTTTTTGATTTCAACAACACAATGAATTTACAACGTGACTTTATTATGATATGAAATAAATAATAATAAAAAAAACTTAAAGTACATGATTCACAGTATAGAAGTGAAGGTCATTCTCTCTAAGTGAACTGATAAAGCGTTGTATGATATCGTAGAGTAATTTACATTTTCTATATTCATTTATAGATGATGTTTCTAATTTAGTCGACTTTATTAAGAATTGTTCAAAATAAATTTTTTTGAAAATCATCCTTTTTTCAGTCAAACATTTTGTTTTTGTTTCACGTTGACTTTCTTCTGAACTTATAACAAAGTAAATAGCTATTCCAAGATCTAGAATTATTTCACCTAAAGA